ACTAGAATTCTGCAGCCGTCAGATGACTTTCATCATCAACATTATCAATCCGAATTTGTTTGTTTTCTTACATTTTAAATTTTCGCTGAGCTTTTTTTTTTAATTTTTTTCGGAAAGAATTACGCACAATACTGCACAAAGTCCTAATACTCGGAACAGCTTATATTCCCTCCAGCTGTATAAAGACTAAATTTTTGTTTTTCTTGTAAAATATATTTGTCTATGGAAAATTTACGATGATTTATGTCTCAGATTTCAAATGAAATGTTTTTGGCATTAACCAGCTAATGTCGCTGGAAGGAAGAGAAAAGGAATGGGCGGGGCGGGAAGAAGGGGTGGGAGGAGAAAAAGGGAGAGGGGGAAGGGAGCGGGTTTTCTTTGTTTTACCACGAACACTAGAAAAATCAATAACTGGCTCTTTGTTCCGAAATTTTCTTTATTCGTATTTTACTCCCCTGTACCCTCATTTTGCAGCATGAACGATGGTTTGCTCCCGGCCGAGGCGCCAGAATTATTTGGTGCGATGCCGGAGTTTTATTTGGAGAACTCACTCGATTTTGTCATTTTTCTGTTGAGGTTAGTTTAATTAAAATGCTGCATTCAAGGTATTTTTTTACGGTATTTTTTACGGTATGTGACTTTAGAAGCTATTACTAACTGGCCCGAGACATCAAATATAATAGTGAAAATTAGCCAGGGAAGTGACCGCAAATTTTGTTTTTGGAAAATTCTGGTATTAATTTTTTGGATTTTTCATATGCGCCCCCTAATTTTTTCTAATTTTTCAATATGTTATAAAAAATATGTTGTTGTGGCTATTGATGTCCAGGTGTTGTATTAAAAAACAACTTTGGCAATCTGTAGAAATTAGGCGTGCAATCGCGCAAGCATTAATAACATACAGAGTATATCTTTGTACTTGCAGGGAGAATCCGGTAGTATTACTGGAGTGTCGTATGGATTTACCACAACAACTGCTTGTATTCATTTGCAGCACTCATTATTTTAACAATAAGTTTCTTGCAGCAAAGGTTTGTTATGTATATTTTTTGATTAACGCGGGCTACCGTTTAATATCTAAAACAGTATAGTTTAGTTTTAATGAAACTTTAACACTAGCTGATTTTCACAATAAAAATGGGAGCTACCAGATGGACAGAGTGGATTGTCTAATGACACTTTCGCTTTGAGAAACAAACGTTAAAAATATTGAGAAATACCCTTGATTGGGTAGTTACTTCGATGACTTATCCAGGCAAAAGTCCTTGGTCGGCATTTTATTGTCTTGTTCGCAGTGGGTCTTTAACAGAGTTGTTGAAGACGAACTTCATCAAATAATTAATACGTTCCTTTTAATATGGTGAAATGGGGCACTGTACTGATGATTTCCACCCCAGTTTGCACCGATTCTGCCGTCTGTGTTTACAGCTCAGGGATGAAACACAGACAGTTTATCAGGTCACTGTACATACAGGTTTGTTTATTTGAGAGATCTAAATGGCAGTTCTAGTGTTTCATTAATTATCAAAATTCGATTGTTTTCCTCTCCACAGTGGGCTAACAGCGCCATACATACTGCATATATTGACACATACGTTTCAGGCCTCCATCCTCTTCCAATCTCCTAGCCAGGGATATTCATTGTTTGTATATTTAAAATTTCTGAAACACATAGATTGGAGAGTTGTGAAAGTTGTTCCACTTTAACATTTTGGGGACATGGACGGTACTATGAAATTTGCGTGAATCAGCGACTGTTTTATCCAGCGGAAGATTGTGAAGCATGTTCACTTCCTGGCCAAGAAAGAAATAACTGTCAACTTCTCTCAAAACAACATCTGTCTCTGATATATCCAGATCTACGTAATTTTCAAAAAAAAAAAAATATTTAAAAATTTCAGGTTGTAGAAGTTCTTTTTATGGTTTGTCCTTCAGTGCAGCCAACGGCTTACCAGTTCCATCAGAACCTTATCAGTTCGCCATTAGCTATCGAACGCTTGTTTCCAAGCCTTGTCAAATTTTACTCAGGTTGTTTTTTTTCCGATGCTTCGGAGAGCTCGATTTAATTGTAAAATTTTTATGTTCATAAGCTCCAGCTGTTCCCTGCACCTCTTCCTGCCACCTTGTTTCTAGTTAGCCAATTGGGAAATTAGTCTTTTTTGGGTTTATCGATTTTTACCGATGACCAATGGATGCGGGCATCCCTTTCGTAACACGAAGATAGGCCTTTCTCAGCCGAGAGTGCAAGCAGCCCTCGAGAATGCTTGTTTCTTTTGATCAG